TGCGTGTCATCCGCATAGAAATGATAACGGAAGCCAAAGGAGCTGATGAGTTTCCCAAGGGAGGCAGTATAGATAGAGAACAGTAGGGGACCAAGGACAGAACCTTGGGGGACGCTGACAGATAGTGGTTGGGGGGAAGAGACAGAGTCAAAGAAGGAAACACTGAAAGAGCGCTGGGAGAGGTAGGAGGAGCACCAGGAGAGAGCAGTATCCCATAGACCAAAATTACAGAGAATGCAAAGAAGCTGTTGATGATCAACAGTGTCAAAGGCAGCAGAAAGATCAAGGAGAATTAGGATAGAGTAATGGCCGCGGGATTTAGCAGTGATTAAATCATTGGATACTTTGGTCACAGCTGTTTTCGATAGAATGACCAGCACAGAATCCAGACTGAAGGGGGTCAAGCAATGAGTTGGATTCGAGAAAGTCAGCCAGCCTGATGTACACAACTCTCTTGAGGATCTTGGAGGCAAATGGCTATAGCGAGATAGGGCGGTAATTGGATGGGGAGTTGGGGTCAAGGCTGGGCTTTTTTAGAATTGGGGTTACAGTTGCATGTTTGAAGGGAGAGGGAAATGTGCCAGAGGAAAGGGAGAAATTGAAGATTTTAGTGAGAGGAAGAGCAAGAGAGGGAGACAAAGTGCAAATGAGTTGTGAGGGAATAGGATTGAGGGAACAGGTGGTGGGGCGGGAGGACCAGAGCAGAGCATTAACCTCTTCTGCTGTAGCAGGTGCGAATGAGTGTAGAATGGTGGAGGGAGTGGGGTTGGGTGATGTATTGGTAGGGGAAGGAGAGAGATTAGCGATCTCTTCTCTGATTGTAGAGATCTTCTCAGTGAAGTGAGATGCAAAGTTGTATAGAGTATTGTCCTAAGGGTTCTTTTGTAGAGTGAAGGAGAGGCCATTCCTTTCTTTTATGTTGTCCCTTTTTCTATAAATGATTGATCTATTGCTTCTTCCGCATGTCGGTTTGCTCAGTGGGATACCCATCAGATGTTTTGGTAGTGACTCAGGTGGTTTTTTTCCCAGCACGCTTACCCACAGGTTAGGTGGGTCCATTATCTGAGCAATAAGGGATATTGCTCGAGATAATGTATGGCAGGGAGTTTGTGCCATACACAAGCTGTCTTAGGCTGATTCCTTTGCCTGTCTATGTGTGTAATTTGAACCTTTTTTTTGGATATACCCTATGTTATCATGGCCCCGATGTTCAAACTAGAGAGAGAAAGCCCTTTGAGCTGGCAGATACTATTAAATTAAGTTAGCATCACTGAATGCCCGTGGGATTAACTCACCATTTAAAAGATCTCTAATTTTGGATTTCTTGAAGAAAAACCAAATACAAATGTGTGCATTACAAGAAACACATTGGATAAAAACGGTTAAATATCCGCTTATTATAAGCGCTGCTCTGGAACAAAAAAAAATGAGGGGGTGGCCTTTATGTTCTCTAAAAATATATCTATAAATATTAAATATCAAGATCTTGACATAGTAGGAAGATATATTATGCTGGTATGCGAAATAAACAATAAACTCTTTATACTAGCTAATATATATGCACCTAATAAGTCTACTATAAAATTAATAACAAGGATTATGAAGAAAGTAGATCAAATCAAACAGGGGTGCTATTAATGATGGGCGATTTCAACTGTGTAATAGACCCTTTTAAAGATAGAAAGAACTATAATGTAAAAATATCAATAAAGGATTTTCAGATAGTCTACAAAATTTGATAGATTAATATAAAGTTAGGGATATGTGGAGAATGTTTCATCCCCTGAAGTCGGACTTCACATGTTATTCAAAAACATTCAATTCCTACTCCAGAATCGACCTTATTTTGGAGGACGTGGCCATGCTGTATCTTGCTAAAAAGATTGTAATACAGGAGATAACATGGTCAGACCATAACCCAATTATATTGGATTATAAAGACTTTTTTGATAAGTTTCAAATAGACTGGCGATTGAACGATTATATATTATACAAAAATTATAACATCGAACAGATAAAACAAATAACTGACCTTTTTTGGAAAATAATAATAAGGGGACATTAGATACTGTAGTATGGTGTGCTTTGTTGCCACTTGATGGGGATGGCAGCTAGACTGAAAAAGAAAGAAGGACCCTCACTCTCAGAGCTATATATAGTGCTAAATGAATATAAGAAACAGAATAAAATAATACCTTCTACAGAAATAGCAAAGAAAATATCAGAAATAGAACAGAACATAAACATGGCAAGATTTCATTATTTGTGTGTTATTAGTTTAAGCAGACTGTGATTGTCTATTGTTGTGACTTAGATGATGATCAGATCACATTTTATGACCAATATGTGCAGAAATCCATATCATTCCAAAGGGTTCACATACTTTTTCTTGCAACTGTATTCAACTTGATCGTCATTTAAGTGTAAGACGTTTGGAGAAAGATAATGTCTATCCTGCTATTTCTCAAACCCCCGCCATAAGTCATGTCAAAACTACTGCTACTAATTTTACAGGAGAAGAAATAATGCAAATTGGTCTCATCCAGGGTCATCTTTCCCTAGCTGAGCTGCAAAAGGGACACATGGATAATCTTCGTCTTTATTGTGGAAAGCCTAATCATACTGTGAGTACCTGTCCTGAGAAGGCAAAAATCCAGTGGGGTATGTTGGCCTCTTGTTTAATACAAACATCTGCTGCACCTCCTTTACCTGTTTATTTTCTGTTATAGTGGAATGGGATTGCCTACAATTGTCAAGTCTTGATTGACTCAGGTGCCAGTGACTGCTTTATGGACTTAAATGTTGCCATTCTCTACCAATACCTATTATAAATAGAGATAAAGCATTAAATATACAAGTCGCTGAGTGTTCTTTTTTTTTTTTTATCTAGCCCTGTTTGTTAACAAACCTCTCCCATGCAAGTGAAAATAGGTGAACATACAGAGACTGTATCGTTGGAATTGGTAACTTCTCTGTTATTTCCAGTTATATTGGGTATATCCTGGCTATGTGCTCATGATCCTTGTATCTCATGGTTCAAAGATACTATCACCTTCTCAACCCCTCTATGTACCTCACAATCCAATGGACAAGCTGAAAGAACCAATCAAACCTTAGATAGACTTATCTCCGCTGTTATACAACATATCTGCAGTCCGATTGGATGGAACTTCTTTCAGCTGTTGAATTTGCATATAATGTTAACATACATTACTCCATTCATGTTTTTACATTCCAACTCAACTATGGCTACCAACCTGGTTCCTTACCTTGTCTACCCATGGTCACTCCAGTACCAGAAGCAACTGATAGATTGAAACTAATCACAATGGGGTTTGATTGAGCACAAAAAAATCTTACTGGATAGTCAACAACTATATAAACGATATGCTGACTGGAAAAGAAATCCTGCTCTGTCTTGTAATGTTGGTCAATCTGTCTGGTGACTACAAAAAAATATTAAGTTATCCTTCCAAGAAACTGGGTCCCAAATCCATTGGTCCTATTCATATCCCCAACATCATCTCACCTCTGGCCATTCAACCACTACTGCATGCATCCCACATTCCATGTATCTCTTAAAACTTGTTCTGATGATCCCTTTCTTGCCAGACATCCTCTTCCATCAAGCCCTGTTATTGTATCAGGTGAACCTGAATATGAGGTACTCGTGATCCTTGATTATTGCCGATGCAAGGGCATCCTGGAATACTTCATACATTGGAAAGCATATGATCCTGAAGATAGGTCCTGAGAACTTATGTACATGTCGCAACTGTAGATTTTATCTGCTTCATCCTGACTGGCCTGCTCCTTCATGCCTTCCCAAATGGCATTCTACTGGAGTGGAGGATACTTTCAAGGTCTCACCCTGCCAGACACTCACCTGCCCTAGCTGCCCTCTGGCCCTTGCTGCATCAGTGGCAATTGTGACAGTCACATCTGCTGAAGCTAAGAAGGGGTGGAAGGTGTATTATGTTGAGGCATTCCTTAAAGGGGAAATACCAAGTAGGCAGGCTGGACACCTAGGAGGTGTGTCCCTGCTCTCCTACTCATACCTGTGCTCAGTATTCTGTGTTCCTAGCTATGACCAGTCATTTCCTTGCTCCTATTATGATTATCCGTTACCTGACCTTTTGGCTTGTCTCCCATTTTTGATTCTGTGCTGCCTGACATGACCTATTGCCTGCCTGACTATGCTTCTGTTGCATTCATATCTATACTTCGCTCTTTCTCAGTTGATTTCTGGGTTCTGTCTGTGACAATATGACGGCATAAATCTGGTTCTCTCTACTGGCTAAAGATTTTTATTTTCTGTTACTCTGCTCAGGAAAACACAGAACAGTTGTTTGGTGTTCTAGTCGTATTGTCTCAAAACTTATTGTGCTTTCTTACTTGTGTATATGCCCTACTGTCTGTATGGGTTATCAAAACATTTTCTAAGAATGTGTTGTTTATTATGGCTGAACACTTTTGAATCTTCAGCATCGCCTTTGTCTTCATGATATTTGCTATTATGTATTGGAAGTAATCATTATTGAAAGTAACAATTTCTTACCACTGGGAGCAGAGGTCTTTTTACGCAAGTTCAATGGCATGTTTGGTTTTTCTTTTACTACATTTTATAAATGCCTTGCTGCAATTCAAAACAACTTTAAATGTGCACTTTTGATTTTTATTTAAATAGAACTGCTTACTTTCTTCTGGATATAGGCCAATCTCAGAGTGCTCTTGGCCCATAACCTGTTGGCTAGTTTGCTGGAAAAAAAAATGTTGAGCAGGATTCAAATGAACATAGAGCATTGAATCTTACTGTTATTCCAACATATTAACACAATAATACAGGGACAAACTGTACTTAATTCTATAACTATATATACAATTTTTGTAGCTTTACCTAATGTTAATTTTACAAATACACTGTGAAGATGTTTTCTCTAACACTCTAAGGTTAGGAGGTTACATTTAAAACATCAAGTGAAATGAGAATCAGCAAAAAAAGGACGGACAGATGTTTGTAGTTTAATTATTTCCTTTTTTTTTTACAAATATTTTTGGGAAAATGTTTCCAGAATTAAAAATGAAAGTCCATACCTTATGGAACTTTATAACTGCTTATCCATTACCCTTAAATCTTTAAACCCCTAAATAGACACTATATTGACAATGCTATATCACAATTAACTTATGAGATAGGAACATAACTACAGAGTACATAACCAACAACAAACACAAATAAGTTCCAAATCCACAGGCCGTTGAATCTTGAACCACGACAAGCCTTAAGTTACTGCCAGAATGCATCTTCTTTTTTTTTTCAGCTGAAGTGGTAGAGGTTAACACCGTGAAGGTGTTTAAGCATGCTTGTGATAGTCATAAGGCTATTCTAGCTATAAGATAAGGCCAGGGACTAATGAAAGTATTTAGAAAATTGGGCAGACTATATGGGCCAAATGGTTCTTATCTGCCGTCACATTCTATGTTTCTATCAAGTTATTTACTAGAGAAATGGTCCTTGTATGTGCTAATGTTATAATATAACATTATATTTTGGCTGTTATATTATCCAATATATTTTGTTTTTCTAATTGTGCTTATATTTTTCTATTCATCAGTGTTCAAATATTTTATTTACTTATTGTTCGTTTTGTCCACTAGCTGTTTTTACAGTATCTCACTTATAATATTTAGAATAAAAGTATTTATTCTTTTAAACATAGATATTGTGTGGCTGGCTATAGAAACCCACTGTGCACTGAGATGTGCTATGGTTTTATGATTTAGAATTCTGCAGTTTTTATTACTCCCTTGATTTAGAGTATATGAAAGGCCAAAACAAGCTGTTAGATCCTCTAGTTCACCAAGAGCACATAAAACCATAGGGAACTGAAAATGTTCTTACTGAGAGGATCAAAATTAAATGTTGCTTTTCTACTGGACTATTTTGGGAGTAATATTTAATAAAATATTTTATAGAGAAGATATTGAGAATTATAAATGTTTTTTAATAGTTACACAAAGATAACACAATACATATCTTATTTCAGCAAATTAATAAATACAAAAGCATATAGAAATCACACCCAAATAAGCAAATTTAATGAAATCTAATTAAACACACAGATGATGCAATAAAACCGATTTAGTAAATATAAACGCAAGAGTATTATGAACTTAGGCCGTTAGGAAAGCAGACCAACATAAGGCAACTCTTTCTGTGTAATTAAAATATTTTACATATATGTTTTGTCTGGGCTTGCAGGTATACTATTAATTACTAATATTTTATATTTAGTGTTTCTAAAAGATGTATGTATTTTCATAGCACATCTAGAACTATATAGATAACAAAATTGAGAATGTGCAACTGATCCCATCTCGTTTTCTATTTTTATAATATAAGAGTTAAAAAAAAAAAAACAACAAAAAAACTGTGTGATTATGCAATGCATTCGGTTTCTCCCAAGGAGGCTAGAAACAAAGACCTAAGCTCTGTTACAGCATTGATTACTAACAAAGTAGGTCTGCGAGTAGGAGAGGTTTAGTAAACAGTAGTGTTGGCTTGTTCGCACTACTTGAGCATATCCCACTAAATACACTATCACCATATGTATAAATTGTGAAACCCAACCATGCTTGATACTTCCTGAACTATCGATTTAATATGGGATCAAAACCAGAATTATATATATTATTAAATAATTCAATCTACAATCCCCAACTCTATCAGCTTGCTTAGTTCTTAGTGACCCATATCATATACACAACTCAAAACAAACTGGCCCAAATGGATATAAATTTCCTACAGGTTTCCTTAGCCCGTCATGGCTATATTAAAGTTTTACGTTAAAAAATGCAGCACAAAACCCTCACATTGAACTTTCTATTCACAAAAACTTTCAAATGGTCTATGAAATGTTTGCTACAATGTGTCTTCTAACTACAGGCCTTGTATCTTGTGTCAATAAGGAGAAGCAATCAACTTTATTCTTATGCACATTTTAAATTACCATGTGTTCACTGCTAAAATGGGAAATAACATTCACATATTGCTAACTTGTATTTGCATATGGATGTGTATCCTTATCACAGAATCTCTTGATCTAATTACTTTAATTGATCACACCCCCATGATTCCTCACATGCATAAACATGACCATATGTGGCCCTAGTAAACTGAAATAAGCTAACTAACATTAGAAGACAAAAAAGATTCTAAGCTAGAAAGGAGATTTTACAAAGATAAAACAAAGTTTGCTTATATATTAAACAATGTTAATAATGGTAATAATAATACAAATTCTAAATATCACCTTTCATATTCTCCTGTATTTTGTCATTACCATTTAACCTAAGGCATATTTTAATTTGAAGTATAAATCACTTGTAATTTTCTTTATATGAAAACAGTCTAGAGCAGTTATACATATTCAGAGAGGGATGGATATATATATATATATATATATCTGTGTATATAGATATATATATATATATATATATATATATATATATATATATATATATATATATATATATATATATATATATATATATATATATATATATGAAAATCTATTCATACTTACCGTAATTTTCTTTTCCTGGTCATAGGCCATGGCAGCACAACAATGGGTTGCTCCTCCCTATTCCTAATTACTAATTAGACAGGAACGTATTTAAATAAGGGTGTATATACCCTCTCCTAGACCCTACTCCCTCAGTCTTGTTTCCAGCAATATCCCAGGGGGGTTCTTTGTGCTGCCATGGCCTATGACCAGGAAAAGAAAATTACAGTAAGTATGAATACATTTTCCTCTTTTCTGGTCATATCCATGGCAGCACAACAATGGGTAATACCCAAGCAATAACCAAGGGAGGGAAATAAAACAAGACTCCAACATTTTTCAATGCAAGTGTTTTAGCACACACAAAAGTGACATATCTCAAGTAATCAAACTTATATATTTTAGACAGACAGAACAGTTTTAGCAAACTTATCAGCTGGACCAGCATTCACATCTAATTGATAATGTCTAATAAAGGTGTTGGTTGAGGACCAAGTGGCTACTTTACAAATCAGTTCTGAGACACTTTAGCAGCTGCTGCCCAAGGGGAAGAAAGGGACCTTGTGGAAAGAGCTTTAAGTCCTTCTGGTACCGGGACTCCTGAAGCCTTGTAAGCCTGGATGATCGCTGATATGATCCATCTACTGATAGGTGTTTTTGATGCTTGATGGCCTCTCCTTGGTATGGAAAGTAGCCTTTGAGAAGTACGCCAGGCCGAAGTTCTGTTTAAATAAATTCTCAGGCATCTAACCAGATCAATAGAGGAAAGATTACATTCTTCTCCACTTGGCTGAACCTCAGGTTGTAACGATGGAAGCACTATTTCCTCATTCATATGGAATGCTGAATTTGGGGCGAAATTCTGGAACTCTTCTAAATATCACTCTATCCTTGTTAAAAACTGTAAAGGGTTCTTTGGCGGAGAACAAGAGTTCTGATACTCCTTTTACCAGATGCCAAGGCCACTAGCAGAACAGTTTTGATGGTAAGCAGGTGAGGAGAGAGGCTCAAAGGGATGAGATTTCAGTGCATTAAGAAACAATGGTAAATTCCATGGAGGGGCAAATGGTCTGATAGGTGGATTGATCTTTAGCACTACTGTCATAAAGCTTACTATAGCCAAATAAAAAGTCAATTTGCGGTTTGTAAGAGCTGAGAGGGCTGAAATATGCACTTTTGTTTTGTTTTTTGATTTGAAAGGTTTTTATTGAATTTTCAAACAAAAAAAGGGAGGGTACAGAAAGGAAGAAGGGGGTAGGTCTTTGCATCATGAAATAGCACAAAAGCATAACAACAATGGTTACATAATGCAATCTATCTTAACAGTTATTGCTTCGACAGGTACATTCCATGCAAATACATCTCCTATACAAGTGGCTAGCTTGGCTGTAGGTAGGAAGGTTATCAGTGAAGAAGTGTCCCAACCAGTCAATATTTTGTGTACAGCCAGGTAATTATTCGTGTGTAAATGGGGCAAGGTGCCATGTGGTCTTAAGTGAGACATCTTATAAAGAGTACAACTGGTACTAATGGTGCATTTATCACATCCGTTACATCTCAGCCACTAATCCCTGATCTCCATGTGTTCCATGTCGACCAAGTAGTCGATATTAATTTGGTGTGGGGGAAGAGATAGGGAAAATGGCTCTCATAGGAGCTCTGTTTATCTAGTTCCTCAAGGAGGCTTTTAAAGGAGGAGGTCGTGGCAGACTTCCAGTTTTTGGCAATGCTACGTTGGGCTGTGAGTGCTAATTGCATAATTAGCTTAATTATATGTCTTATTAAGGAATGAGGTTGGTCAAGGATGAGGTACCTTTCGAGCGAGAAGGTGATGGGGTGTTCTACACATTTAGAGAGGAAGCTGTTGATCTCCTTCCAGAAGCCCGAGAGGGCATTGAACGTCCACCAGACATGCAGATAGGAGCCTTCATCGACATTGCAGTGCCAGCAAGTTGTGGATGTGTGAGGGAACCTTCTGAGTAGCCTAATGGGCACCATATACCACCTGAACAATGTTTTGTAATGTTGTCCTTTGAGGGCGGCTGCTTTGATCAGCTGGTGGTTTAATTTAAAAATGTGTTCCCATTGCTTTTGGGAAAACATGTGTTGCAGGTCTGTATGCCATTGGGTTTCTGGATTAGATTCAGAGAATGGAATATGGTCCGAAACAATTTTATAGCACATAGAAATCGGTTTACATAAAGGTGGCAACTTTCCAGATATACATAGTTTTTCCCATGTGGTAAGTGTAGCAGTGGATAGGGTGTGTGTGGTGCCCTGTCTGAGCTGCCTAGATAGGAAGGATGTTAATTGTATGTTAAGATTATTGGGAGGACCTGGGTAAGTTATATCTTGACGCTAAGGTGTGATAATCCAGTAAGCCAGTGTTTTTATACAGGTTGTAGACATGTGTTACCTGTCTATCTAGCCATGGTTTAGTGTTGAAAGTGGGGACCCAGTATGGTAGTGCCGCAATGGGGGTCGCTAGTGACAAAGATGCATTAGCGGAGAGTTTCTGTCGGTTACTGTCCCAGATCTGAAGTGTCAGAGCGATCGCAGGGGTGAGTGTGAAGGTTGCTGAGCGTAAGTGTTTAGGGAACCAAATGAGACTGCGGACCTCGTGGGTGAAAATGCTCTGCTGTTCTAGAGCCCATTGGGGGGGCAGCGGGTGTGTGTATGTGACACCAGATGTGGTATAGCTGCAGCTAGTATTAACGCTTGGTAGTATTGGTGCACATTGGGGATGGCGAGGCCACCTTGCATTTTAGGTGCCTGCAGTAGTTTCAAGGCCACTCTCAGTCTCCCACCCAACCAGACAAATTTGTTCATCTCGTTATGTATCGGTTTAAAATATGAGTTTGGGAGCTGGATTGGTAAAGTACGGAACAGGTATTGTAGTTTTGGCTAAAATATGCACTTTAAAAGTATTGTAGCTCAGTCCTTTATCGAGGTCATACTGGAGAAACTCCAGGATGTCTTTAGTTGAGTGATTTTGAATGTTATTCTTTTTAGAAATGGCCCATGTAGAAAATACATCCCAAACTCTGTAATACATAGCAGAAGTAGAATGTTTCCTGGCTTGTATTAGAGTTTCAATCACTGGCTGGGAAAACCCTTTATTTTTTTAGCCCTTCCCTTTCAATTTCCATGCCATCAGGTTGAGGGAGGCTGGATCTGGGTGAAGAACTGGACCTTGTTGCAGTAGGGATAGAACTTCCAGAAGCTGCCATGGGGTTTCCTTGCAGAGATTCATCAAGAGTGGAAACCATGGTCGGCGTGGCCAATATGGAGCTATGAGGAGGATCGTTACCTTCTCTTGTTTTAACCTCCTCAAGAGCGGAAAGATTAGTGGAGTTGGAGGTAATACGTATCCCAGATTGAACTGCATCTTTTCCGATAGCTCAAGGGTCGAGTATTTTGGAGAAGAAATTGCTCACCTTCTTGTAGTTTGTTGCTGTTAAGTCTACATGTGGAAGACCCCATTTTTTTGCTATCATTTGGAAAATCTTGGTTGATAAACTCCATTCTCCTGGATCTAGTTCCACCCTGCTGAGGAAATCTGCCACAGAATTCTCTACTCTTGGAAGATGAATGACTGTTATACCTGCTAGGTGTAGCTGTTCCCAGGACATCAGTGGTCTCATCAGTCTCATCATTCTTCGACTTCGAGTCCCTCATTGATGGTTGATATAAGCTATGACCGTAGCATTGTCAGTTCTGATTTTTACCCATTTCTGTTGTAGTTGTTGTTGGAAATGCTTCAGGGCCTTGAATACTGAGAAGCTAAGAAGCTCTAGGAGATTAGAAAGAGTGTTTGCTGCAGCAAATGTCCATTTTCCTTGTATGCAGTTGTACTGGAGATGTGCTTCCCATCCCCATTGACTGGTATCTGTGGTTATTACATTCCAAGGAGTGTTCCCCAGTGGGAATCCTCTGAACAGAAATTTGTTGTGCAGCCACCATATTAGTGATTGGTGAACATGCGACAGAACATGAATAGGTTGAAGATTCCCTGTTTTGAATTTGAAAAGGAAATTGTCTTGAAACTTCCTCATTCTCCATTGAGCCCATCTCATTAGTTCTATAGTGGAGGACATTGAACCCAGTAGACAAATTGGATTCCAACACTTCTCTTACTTTTATTTTCAACCTTGTACCTATTTCTTTTGACAATTGTACCGTGCCTTTGGTTGAACAGTGCTCCCAGGTACACCATGTTCTGAGATGGGATGAGTTGACTTTTGGCAATGTTGATTTTCCATCCATGATATTGGAGGAGTTATAGACAGATCTTGAACCACTTAATTAATAGAGTATCTTTGTTTTCTGCTAGTACCAGAATGTCGTCTAGGTAATGGAATATAGCAATGCCCTAGTTCTGCTATTAGAACTGCCAGAACTTTTGAGGATGTCCGAGGTGCCGTACTCAGGCCAAATGGGATGGCCCGACACTGGAAATGGCTTATCTCCACTGCAAAGCTGAGGTATTTTGATGCTGGGAAGCGATGGGAATATGGAAGTAGGCATTTGACAAGTCTATTGATATCATCCATTGGTTTAGAAATACTACCTTTTATGATTGACTGTAAGGATTCCATCTTGAACCTGCATATGTCCAGGAATTTGTTTAACTTGTGCAGATGTAGAATAGGTCTCCATCCCCTGAGCCTTTCTTGGTTAGAAAAATGGAGTAGAACCCATGAGACTGTTCTACCAGAGGCACTTGTATAATAACTCCTTCTTCTTGCAGGTATGAAATGAATGATCGTAGGGCATTTCTTTTTTCTGTCTCCAGGCCTTCTTGATATCTACCAATGACCGTCGTGGAGGGGCCCTGTAAAATTCAATGAGATAACCTCTTTGAATTATGTCTAGTACCCATCTGTCTTTTGCGGATTTTTCCCATATCTTTCGAAATAGTAGTAAACGTGCTCCTACTCCTCCATACTGGGACTGCAACCCGTCATAAAGAGTTCTTTGGGAATGATGATCCCCCCAGGACTTCCCACCTCTAACTGAGGAATGTCCTTCTCTCCATGGCTGAGTTGGACCGTACTCTCTTCCTGGTCTGTATGACCTGCTGTGTCGAAAGGAGGGATAATCAGAAGATCTTTTGGACCGAAAGGATCCCCTGGGTCTACGATCTTGAGGAAGAAACGCTCTTTTAATGCAATCATCCAGATTCTTGCCAAACAGCATATCTCCATGAAAGGGGAGAGCACACAAACTGGATTTTGAGGAGGAATCAGCTGACCAGGATCTGAGCCAGAGAACTCTTCTAGCTGAAACAGAGAGGGCCATATTCCTTGCTAGGGCTTTAACCATGTCCACTGAGGATTTTGAGGTAAAGTTGGCTGCTAACTTTATGTCTTTCAAACTTTCCAGGAAAGAAGATCTGCTCCTGCCTTTTTTAATATCCTCCTCCAGATTATCAACCCAAATCTGGATACTGACATAAGAGCCACTGCAGGATGAAAGCCAGTGCCCGCTGCCACGTAGGCTTTAGAAAGGTTCATTTTATTTTTCTATCCATGGGATCTCTGAATGAGCCTGCATTATCATCCTGTAGGGTGGTGCGTTTGGCAAGTCTAACCACTGCCACATCTACCTTTGGAGCTGAATCCCAGTTGCCAGAGTCCATTTTCTCAAATGAGTACAGGCGTGACATTCTCCACTGGGCTGACATCTTTTTATCTGTGTTGGACCATTCATCCATGATTAGATTTTAATGGTATCATGCACTGGAAAGGTTACTCTTTTTCTCCTCAGATCCGAGAAGTAACAGCTAGAAGTGGAGGGTTCCTCTTTAGAAGTTTCCTTAAGTTTAGGGATTTGCAGACTCTGGGTATCCACAAGAGGTGGTTCAAGGAAATCTGTAGCAGGATGAGGTTCTCCCTCGGAAGAAGAATTATTGTTTCTGTATGAATCCATATCCATGGATTCCTCTGATTCGTCTTGCGAATATTCCAGTGGTTCAGGATACCTTGGTCTTTTTCTTGTATTACCTGCTTCTTTCAGGCCTTGGGACAGAGCCGGATTTGTATCTTACTACCCCTAGGGACACCGCAAGCTTACCCCTAGTCACTAAAGGGATATTTTCAGGGGGGCTTCTTCATGGAGGGCCATGTACTGAAGCTTCCCAAGGAAGAGAGGCTGAGCTCCCTTGGAGCAGAAGGTAATAACCTTCAGGTAAGCCAAAAATATTTTTTTTTTTGGTTTCTGTAAATGACTAACGTTGTTCTATAGGGATAGGACAGGAACAAAAAGACTCAGGGAGTAGGGGGTAGGAGAGTGTATATATACCCTTTATTTAAAGCAGTTCCTGTCTAATTAGGGATAGGGAGGAGCTACCCATTGTTGTGCTGCCATGGATATGGCCAGGAAATATAGATATTTGAGGTCACACCTGATCTAAAGAGGCTAATTGGGTGTTTATTTACAACAATATAATCAAGTAATACGATGACAAAATATTACATTAATTAGTTATTTGTCAGATCAAGTGCTTTTTAAACTATCTCAGAATAAATCAGCATACTTTCATACTGTATTTAACAGTATTTAAAGGAAAACATGTGCCATCTATCACAATAAAAGGTCCTTTTGGTTATGTCATATAACACCACTCTAGTATAAAAATACGAATTCAAAGGGGAATGTCCATTTAATTTTCAACATTAAATAAAACACTAAAAATCACCTATTACGTATGTTGACCTTTTTCATAAGATGCACCATTTTCTTTTAAATTTCTATTGAAGATTCAGCAAATTATTCCATAATGAATTTCAGACAAGGCAATGTCAGGGTACTGGGAGGCAGGAGCCATATAGAAGTGTAAGTGGTTGTGGTGGTTAGGGAGCCCTACATATGTGTAAGTGGTTGTAAGTGATTGTGTCGGCAAAGTGCTTCGGATTTCTGAAAAGTGGCAAAATGAGAGGGATGCTTACAATGTCCGAATTGCCGAAATTCCGATTTCGGCAGTGCCAAACTTAACCGAATGCCATTGGTCTGAATTGCCGAAGCAGATTCATTTTTTTACTTACCTGAATTCCTAATCATAACACAATTTATAGATTGCATCCATACATACCTGAAGATGGACTTTGCATCTACGTGATTTGTGGAAGACATGTTCACTGTAATTTAAAGTGGGTAAGTACAGTTGTGCTCAAAAGTTTGCATACCCCTGGAGAACTGGTGATATATGTACCATTTTTAAAGAAAACATGAGTGAGCAGGCAAAACATATTACTTTTATTTCTTATGAGAATTATATTCATCTGTAGGTTATAATAGAATTGCACAATCATAAAACAAAACCTAGCAACAAAGGGAAAAAATAAATGACCGCTGTTCAAAAGTCTGCATACCCTTAGTTCTTAATACTGTGTATTGTCCCCTTCAGTATCAATGACAGTGTGCAACTTAATTGCCGAACAGAATTTCGGAAGTGCCGAATTTCTGAAAAGTGGCAAAACAGGAGAGGGAGGGAAAATTAAGGGAATGATGACAGAAATCTAACCCGATCCCTACTAGGTTTAGGGGTAGGGTTAGGGGTATAGGAAGGTTGGGGGTAGTGGTGGGGTAAGGGTTAGGGGTACTGTTGGGGTAGGGGTAAGGGTAGTGTTAGGGGTAGGGTTAGGGAACACCCGAATTCCCGAATTGCCAAAGTCCCAAATTTTGGAAGTACCAAACCAAATTTTTAGTTTAGTTGTCCATGAGGCCCCTATTTCATGCAGGTGGTATAGCTGCCCATTTGTCTTGACAAAATGCCTCCGGGTCATGCAAAGTCTTTGGTCATCTTGCATTAGATCTCCCCATATCGATGATATTAAGGTCAGGAGACTGTGATGGCCACTTTTTTCTGCTTTAACCACTGGAGGGTCAAATTGACCTTGTGTTTAGGGTCATTGAAATGCTGGAAAGTCCAAGAGCGTCCCATGCGCAGCCTTCGTGTAGAAGAATGCTAATTCTCTGCCAGTATTTTCTGATAACATGCTGCATTCATCTTCCCATCAATTTTCACAAGATTCCCCATGCCTTTAAAGCTCACACACCCACAAGACACCAGTAAGCCACCACAATGCTTCACAGTGGGGATGGCATTCTTTTCACTATAGTCCTTATTGACCACTTTCCAAACATAGCACTTATGGTCTCTATTTTGGTCTCATCACTTTAAATTACAGTGTGCCAGAAGCATTGAGGTATGTTAAGGTGTTGTCGGGCATATTGTAACCTGACTGTTTTGTGGCATTAGCGCAGTAAAGGCTTCTTTCTGGCAACTCAACCATGCAGCTTAATTTTGTTCAAGTATTGTCATATTGTGCTCATTGAAACAACCACACTGTCTTTTTCCAGAGTAGCCTGTATTTCTCTTGAGGTTACCTGTGGGTTTTTATTTGTGCTGAGAACAATTCTTCTGGCAGTTGTGGCTGAAATCTTTATAGAATAGATATGTACAAAAATGAAGATACAGCTGTGGATCTACAAACAAATATGAAACAAATAATAGTGTTACACTGTATATTAGGGTACAAGTGCGCTGTGTTAGATATAACCCACAGGATGGATGAATAAATGACGCCCAAGGGTGCCTCCCCTGATGTAGGTGGGGGGCGGAATCACTGCTTCTATTCACAGGAAAACAATGTTGAACTCAGGATATGGAGTAGAAAAAAATTCCTTCTTTATTTAAAAGTATAAAATAAATATATGTATATATAGGCCATAACAGCCTATATATACATATATTTATTTTATACTTTTAAATAAAGAAGGATTTTTTTTTTACTTCTTTGTTTAAAAGTATAAAAGAAATATATGTATATATAGGCCATAACAGCAAATTTGACAAATGGGTTGTTAAATTGACAATCCACACACCTTAAACATTTGTCTGTAATTGGACAGTCACTGATAGTCTGGGCTGGGGAAGAAGAGGAGGGCTTGCAAAGGCTGCAGACAAGAGACCTGCCTCTTAGATATACCCACAATTAAAAAAGGCATAATTATATACATACATGGTTTAATTAGGGGGTATATCTACTAAACTGTACAAAAAATATTGACAAAATCAATAGGAGTGTTCTTTTAATTAAAATACTATCATTTTAAATATTAGAATAATAGAATCAGTGACAACAAGAACACAATAATATACGTGAAAAATAAAACTAAAATAAAAAAAAACACAAAAAATAATTAAAATTTTACATTTCCAAATAATTATATAGAACTAATTGCATATTTCTTTTTTGCAAATGTATATTTATTGAGGTTAGAAATAAGTGAAAGTATCAGAATATTTTTTGTTGTTTGCTTGCAAAAACAACAAACTTGTCTCTTTTTTCAAAAAACATCTGTTGGGGAAAAAACAAACCCAGAACTTAAGTTACTTAAGATGCAGATAGCATCATTCTATCTATTTTATGTATGAGCAGATACTTATCACAGCTTGTGCATGCACAGTTAAACAACCAGTCAGGCTTCCACCCCTGGGTGCTTGATAGGTATACTCAGACAAAAACTCAAATGTCAATCATTATACATATGTTAACGTGAAAACACATGCATGCATGCATGGTACTTTTAACCATGTATGTTCCAATTAAGTGGTATTGTTTTAAGGAACCTAAGAAACTGTTAAGGAATTGGTATTTTAGCCAACTTAGTGCAAACATTATTCTGCCCTTTGTGTCTTATATTTTGAAAATATTGCAAAATATTATTAAATTTATTTTCGTCATCTATAATATTAAATAATGAATATATAATATTAAATAATTGATAGTTCTTATTAACATTTAGGCTGCATTACTGATCAAAAATAATGAGAGCTTATGAATAAAAAGAGAATTTTAATGATTATATGTACTTTACTGTTATTATTTTCATAAATAATATATTGTGGAATAATTCAGCTGGTATAACGTTTATTTTAATTTTTACCATAAAATATTATGTTATAATAAATACTAATTTGTATGTTATTAAGTTATATAAATAAATTTGTAGTGAGATGAGAAGAAATTACTTTACCGTCATAAAAAAGATGTACATTTGCCAATTTCTTGCATTAGGTGTCTTCAATGTATTGCCCCTTTTAATAAGACTGAATGCAGAAAGCAAAGTCAGATGCATATAAATAATAATACAACCAAATTATCAGTAAAAGCTAGGGAACAACTCTCTAAAATGTCATACAAAGTCCATTTCTTGGTGTAGATCAAAAGTCAGAAATGTTGAGCATACCAATACTATTTATGCCAAATAAGTAAATATGTCACATAAATGATGGATGGCTGAATAAGTGCAATACAGTGTATAAAGAAAATATTTATATGCTTTCTATGTTTTATTGAATAAGCCATAAATACCTTCAGACACAATCATTGTGCAATTACTGTGTGCTAAAATGTTCTGCAATCTCTAGATTCACCATAACTATAGGCCCTTGTTTTTGTGGCTATATATAATTTTAAATATTTTATGAGTCACATTATGAGGCATATTTTATTTTATTAAGATGAGGCACACATGTTGAGAGTCCTGATCCTGTAGTCAGTGGGGGAAACTTCATATTACAAAGTGGCTGGACATTCTGTTTTCAGTATTGACTTTAGTTCTGGTGACTAAAGGACACTGGGAACTGGACTTTGAATTTGTTTTTATAAGAATTGCTGTTTTGTTTGCTTGTTTCATGATTTGTGTCCCTTGGAGGTGCAAGGGTTTACTTATGTGGCAATTAGCCAGGACTTAGTAGCCAGCCGCCACAGTAAAATCTTAAACAAATACAATAAAACCATATGGTATAAATATAAACCCCATATTATGATAAAGAGGTACAATACCTTCCTTATGATCCCACCCTGTATGCTGCACATGGGGGCATAATTAATAAAGATTAAGTAGCCAGTTATTTCTGCTCGCTAGCTAAGAAAGGCCCTATCCCATGTTCTATACACTAAATCTGCTTCATTAAGTTTAAATTGTTTAGGTGCTAATAGTATCCATTTAATCTGCCTGTGTCAATGTTCAGATAAGACTCTGATGAGCCAGGCAAGGCCTAGGCAGCAACAGGGACATGTGAGGGGAGTGTATACAGAGGAATGTGGTAAAGTTCTTTTGGGATGTGGGTAGAGTATAGTAGGGTTGGATGAGTGGGTTAGTATAAATAGGTTGCCATCTTATAGAATAACAGCCTTCTTAATTATCAGTTTGGAACAGCTTGGTAATTACTGGTAGTTGAGCTCGATATACCTGATTTCCAAGTGCGGTTTGCGGCCAAGGTATGGATATCCAAGCTGTCCTCTCTGCCCTCAGGGCTGAGGCCTTGCAAGATGGGGGGGGGTCTGCACCTGAGGCTCAGCTGGTTCATCTTCAGGCTTCTGTGGCTGCTGCTGCCTTTCCTCCTGGTGGTAACGGAGGTCCCGGGAGGTGAGCTCGGCCACCGGAACATTTTGCCCCTTAAGGGGAAGCCTCCAGGCAGGTAAGTAGGCTTAATGGTGTTTCCCGGGGGCAGAGGTCTCTCTTCCTGATCGGGATGGGGGGGTGGCTGGGAGTAGTGTGAGGCAGACATCTCCTACCCCTTCCCTTGTTAGCTCTGCTAGCCCTCTTCCCTGCACAGGGGTGCCACCTGGATCCTACGGGCACACCTTGCCTTCTCCATCCCCTGCCAGAATGGGTCAAGGGGGGAGGGATTTGAATTCACCTGTTCTATCTTACTAGGTGGCTATGGACCGGTGAATAGTGATATTGATGAGGAGCTATGTAGGGTGTCATACTCGTCCTTTGATGCTGCGGTTCGGATGGTCCAGGAGGCGGGCCCTGGGGCTCTGCTGGCAAAAGATGATGTTGAGGCTGCCTTTCAGCTGCTTTCTGTCCACTCGGGCTGCCATCACCTGTTGGGTTGTTTCTTCTTCCAGGGCAGTTA